CTTTAAAACTGTTCAAATAAATTAACTTATCAACTATATATATTTTTCCTATGTTATTGTTGTTTGTAATTATAATTTTTGAGGAGAAGTAAAATAAATGTCGAAAGACTAATTTAAATACTTTAAATATGAAATTAACTTGAAATATATGTTTGGGATCAAGAAAAACATTATTAACAGCAGTATTATTAGAAAAAATAGAAAGCGAATAAATTGACTTCCGATTCTTTTTTTTAATTTTTAACACGCTCTTTTCTCCATTTTCATCTTTATTGACATCAAAATAAATATCATCTACGATTTTATTAAAAAAGGAAAAAATTTATTTCTCATTTGGCAAATTTGGTAAAATTTTTTAGGACAAATAATTTTAAACTAATAAGAAATAATTTTATGCATATAAATCATGGAATTTTACTTTCGATTAATTAATCATATAATTACTGCGTGTTTCTTATTTCAAAGATAGCTGAATAATTAGCTAATATTTATCTTTTTTTTTTAGAAAAAAAGAAAAATCAACATTTGATTAAATAACTATTTGAGAATTTTTATAAGGATAAAAGTTTATCATTTCCGTTTCATCTATTCCTAATATTTTCACTTTTTTCTCATCCATTATGAACTTCTCTTATTCATCACCTTTCTTTAAAAAACGATAATTATTAAAAACTAATAAAAGTATTTTTATGGAGATGAATTAGAAGAAAGAGGAAGAAACAAGGGGAGAGAGAGAGAGAGAGAGAGAGAGAAAAGAACAAAGTACTGTTTAAGATTAGTCTGTAATGTTATTGAAAGAGCAATCACTTTTTTCTTTTTCTCGAGACATTATTAAAGCTTTGAGAGAATCAAAACGGCGAAATGAACGGAATTTTTTTTTCTATCTTCCATTCGTGTCATCTGTCTGACAGACAACCCTTTTCGTAATGTCATTTATTTTAACAAACGGAAAGACAACAAAATGATGTCACATACATACACTTATATATATACATATATATAACTTTGTTGGTTTTAAAAATTTTACAAAAAAATGAAAACCGAAAATTCAAAGACCTTTTTATAAAAAAAAAAAAAAAAAACTAAACGATATTGAAAATTTTTTGCAATGATACATTTATATAAATGTTTTATTATCATCCCGATTCGTTTCTTCCTTTCTTTTTCTTTTTTCATTTCTTTTTTTTTTTTTGATTAATTATTTATTCAAAATATTTGATAAAGCGAATATAAGAATAAATGAATTAAAAAAAAGAAACCAAACGCTTTTTTTTGTAATTTAAAAACAATTTTACTTAAATTTTAAATTACCCTTATACTTTATTCATTCATTTCGTTCTATGCTATCATTTATGCGTTGTTTTAAGATTCACATCAAAAGAAGAAAAATTAAGATAATTTATCAATATGCATTATTTATTTATTATTTTGATAGTACAAAAGTTTCACTAAAATTTAAATCTTTTCCTATTTCAAATCAATTTATGTTGTAATTGTCATTAAGTACTATAATAGGAATAGAACTATATGATTAGGAAATAATTTATAAAAAATTGATAACAATACATATGTACTTATTACTTTATGCTAACTATAAATAAAGTAACTTAACATGTATATAGAAAATAAAATACTGAAAGATTTGTAAAATAATTAACCGACTTTACTTGAAATCATTATGATTACCAAACAAAAATTTAATAACAATAAGCCAAGAAAAGAGATAAATGAGAAAGTAAACGAGGATTAGAACAAAAAACATTGGAATAAAAAATGGAATTCTTTACGAAATTAAATAAAATGATATGTAAGATTTAATTTCCGGATTGCTTTATATATATTCTATCCCAGAATCAGTCAATCTTTAAACATCCATTCAAGAAAGGCATAAATATTTTAAACATTGAATTTAAACATTCAAGAAAATATAAATGCATAAACAATTCATAGGATTATTATTATCATAAAAAATGTTGATCAATTATTTCCTCTGGCATGATTAATTCCACTATTATGCATTAATACATTTTAATAATATGTCATATGATAACATTTTATAATGATTATGGTTGGACATGCAATGATGATGAAATGAACGAATACGACTGGTTAAAGTGTTCAAAAAAAATTTCGATTGCATATAACATTTGTATTTCATCGTTAGTTAGATAATTATAGATTAAAATATTGTTAAAATAGATATAGAGAGGAAAAGAGAAAAGAAGAAAGATGGAATATAGTTTACAATTTTTCCATGCATTTTCTTTTTTTTAAATTATTGAAAAGAATTTGAATACTAGATTTTATTGGCAATTTATTTCAACTAGTTTTAATTTGCAGTTAAAAAAATAGCATTATTCATCGTTGTTTAATTTAATCGTATGACTTTCTTTTTCGTTTTTTTTTTAATTAAACGATAAAAATTTTTGCTCCTTCGCTTATTTCAATCGAAAACGTGATGTTTTTGGAAAAGATAATTTACTTTTGTTAGAGGTTTCTTTCGTTTCTTTTTCTCCTTTGAGCACTTTAGTCGCTATCAGTTACTTGAAAAGAGTGAAAAAATTCGAAAATACTTTTACTTGTAGGGAAATATTAAATGGAAAAGGCGGTGGTGATATTGGCTTGTACTTAAAATAGTTATTTTGACCAATTTAAACAATCCGAAACTTATTTTTTTGCCTGAATTTAAAGAAACATTAAGTACTGATACTTTTTTCTTTTTGAAAATGTCAAAATTTGAATACACTGTTGGTTAATTGCATTATATGAATTTTTAAAAATTAGATCATGTGAATCATGAGATGATGACAAATGATAGTAAATGTCCTATTTTTCGGATTATTGTATTTCTTTTAGATTTTATTCAGCATTTTTTTTAAAGTTTTACTATAAATTATTAATTTATATTCTTAAATTCAAGCAAAAAGAAATTTTAGATTGTTTAAGCTTCTCATTTAAAATAATTTACAAAAATATACAAAAGAACAGAAGAATCTGTATCAAAACAGTCGAAATCGATCCGATCATGATAAAGCATGATATAAAAAATCAATTAATTTAAGGAAAAAAAGATGGTGACTATTATCATTTCTTGTATTATTGGGTAGAAGTTTTATTAACTATTACTAATTATTGCTTAATGAATAAACAAATATTGATGAGCGAATTAACAAAATGTTTTATCATATCAAAAAAGATAATGATCTTCTAAAACAGTTTCACCGAAATTTGAGAAAGAATAGCTGGGATAAACTAATAATTTATTTTCTTCATTCAAGTTTTATTTATTGTCATCAGAACGATAATGTTAGATATGGTAAACTGTACAGTATAATGTGATGTACCTATGGTTGGTATAATATATTGTGCGGTGTGATTATAAATTGTACAATTTAAATAAAATAATGGTGTAATTGCAATTTAAGAAAAAATAGTTGAGATAAACTAATAACTTATTTTCTTAAATGCAACTTTTATTTCTTGCCGTCAAAGTGATGTTGTTAGATACAGTAAACTGTGCAATGTGATATAATGTATTATCTTTGTATACATAATTGGCATAATAAACCATATCCACGGTATGATTATAAATTGTACAATTTAAAATATACAAAAATAATTGATAGTGTTTGAATTAATTAATTATAATTTGTATTAATTATATAATTATTTTTATTTCAAATGTGTCTAATGTCTGTTTTTAATAAATAATGGAATTAATGATTATTTATATTATGTATATATGCACACTAAATATTTTCTTATTTCTCCTTTCCTTCTTAAAAGGTTTTTTAAAGTCGAAGATATTTCGGATATTTTATCCATTTATTTTTCCTAAATAATATAATTATTATCATTACTTCACTAAAAAGGTTCGAATTGGAATTCTCAAGTTATTCTAGTTCAAAAAAATTCTAGTTATTTTAAAACAAGCAACCAAGAATATTATTTATTTAGGTATATGCAATATATTAAATTAAACTTATTAAGTCATGTTTTTCTGGTTTGCAAGAGTTTTTCCCCAGTTTTATTTTGTAATTTTTTTTTAAATAAAAAATTCGGGTTGTTAAAGAGAGGAAAAAAGACTTTACAAGAATAAAAAAAAGGACGGAAAAAGAGAGAGAGAGAGAGAAAGAAAAAGTGAAAGAGAAGGAATTTGTAAAGAAAAAAATTTTTTTTAAAAAAAAAAAAATATCAAGCAGATAGTTGAAATTACATTTGTAATATTAGCATTTTTGTACATACACTTTGAAAGCATCGTAAACGAGATGGAAAAAAAAAAAAAACTTTTTCGGCTTTTACCTTAATAACATTCCATAGATGGATGATGAATCATTATTGTCCCGCTTTTATCAATTCTCCGCGGTAATATATACCATTATTATTTGATCCTCATAATATCTTCTGTCAATATATAACCTTTTTCTTTTTTTTTCTCCTACATTTATCCTCAATTTGCATTATAAATATTTGTAGCCATTTCATATTTTTTCATCTGAAAAAGAAAGAAAAGAAATAGCAAATGACGATTGATTTGAATATATTGACTTGTATCTTTAAAAGGAAAAAGAAAAAAGCGAAAGAAAAAAGGAGTATACATTATCATGTAAATATAAAATAACACAGATATGATAGAAAAAATTATAAGAAACGTAATTTCTGGATCTGGTTTCTAGAATGATAAGTGTTATATATATATATATGTGCTTCTAAAGCAAAAGTATAAATCTTTTTCGGAAAGAAAGAATTGGATTATAAACTGAAAAAAAAAAAATGAGGTGATAATACATGAAGATGTTGAGGAGTTAAATTTTAGTTTAATAATAACTAGTTAAGTGGTAATTAGTTGCTTAAATATGTGTTAACAAATTATTTTGAAATTCATTTCAAACTTATTAAGTTTCATTTATGTAGTAGGATGTTACATTCTTATTATCATACTGAAAATGATAATTAATTGAGTTTTTTTTTTTTTTTTTTTTTTGTAATTACAGGAAATGATGGATAATATAGAAGGATCAGGAAGTAGCAATAGTATGATAGAATGGTCTGATGATGAGGATTTAGGCGGTGAAGGTTCAGGTAGTCAAAATGAAGGATCCGGTGATACGGAAGAAGATCAGGAACATGCTATAGCACCAATTATTACATATGCTGAAGATGGCCGGCATACGGAATTAATCGATCGAATTACTACTATTACTACTACTACTTATCAAGGTTATATATTTTGCTTCATCAATTACTTCATCAATAGTTCTAATATTCAATTTTGAAATTCAATCAGAGCTTAGTAAGTTTCAATGATACTTTCCCTTATGCTACCAACATTAATTAATTAGACTAACTAATCAAATTTGCGAATCAAAAAATTAAAACAAATTTTCGAATAAAAAGTGATTATTTCTCAGCAGAAAAAAAAACATATAAGATATATAATTGAAATTTCACGCTAAGTTTTATACGGGAGAATAAGTTTATGATTTATTTTTCTACAAATATTAATTATAACACTATTTGATTTGCACTACAACAAAAAATAATACTAATTATATGATAACTGTTAAATATAACCTTACTTCGCATATGCAATAGTATAAAAAACTTTAAATAGGTAATAAAAAATTAATTAAGTGATAGTTATTAATTACATTACAGAATATTAATTATGTGATAATTGTCAAATACGATATTATATATTTCTAATGTAAATTTTGCACAGATCAGACGTTAGTAATACAAATTGCATTATTTGTAATTTATTCTTTTTTCTTCCATTATATATTTTTTTTCCGATTGCTACAAAATTATCATTCAAACAACGATGATCGTACCTGCTGATATGATATCAATGATAGTAATAGAATGAATAATATAATTGTATTTCTGATTATTCAATCTTCCACTCACATACAATCTAAAAAACATAGAATCTAAAAAAGCAAATTTTTTTTTGTTGTTGAAATTTTTTTTCCGTTGCTTTTGGTTACATTTTCTTTCCTTTCTCCTACAAAACAGTTTACTTTGGATAATATTAAAAGAAAAAAAATTTTTTTCTTTAATTTTTGAAGAAATTTTTTTAATCATATCACAGTATAATTTTACTTAAGATCTTACTTAACTTATCATACACCAATTTTACTTCATCAATAATGTTGATACTTACCATTAAATTATTAATTACGAATATAAAAATTTGATTTCATAAAGAAATTTTACAATTTTTGCATTCTAGATGCAACATTATTGATGCATAAAAAGCTCAAAATTTATTTGAAAATAAATTTTGCAGAACCATCGTCGGAAACTAAATTACCAACCAGACCGCCTGTTATTGCTAAACCGCCAGAAGTTGGATCAACCGATCGTTCAACATTATCTGTGCTAACTGCTTTTATTATTATTATTTGGGTATCATTACTACTTCATTAAGGATACCTACCTAATGAAATATTTTTAAGGATTTTTTTGAAAAGATTATTCTATCTTAGCAAATTCGACTATTTATCCATTTTCAAATATTATCTGATAATTTCAAGAAAAAAGCGAACTTGAATTATTGGAATTAAAAATTTATAAATGGGCAAAAAAATTACCATTTAATCATTTGCATTTGACTAAATTGGATAGCAAAAATTTTCTTTTTCATGTTTTTCCTCAAAAAATAGGCAAATATATTCATTTATTCATTTATACAATTGGTGCTTATTTTTTTTACTTTTTATTTAAATTTAAAACTTCATAATTTTGAATATATTAATGATAATCATTGCATAACACATTCATTACATATACATGCTATGAAAAATATGCAAAAAATGAAATTACTTGTGGATTTTGAATTTTAACCGCTGTCATTGTCAATTTTTTTTTCTTCTTTTTTCCATTTTTTCGTGTAGTTTCCATTCACTGTCCTCTCGTTTATTTATTTATTCCCTTGTTTGTTTGTTTATTTATTTGTTTTTATGTTTGTATGTGTTTCCTATTATTCCTATTTCAATTAACTTTCCTTTTTTCTTTTATTTTGTCATTTGATTCATTTATTATTAAATCTAACTCTTATCATTACCATCCTTCTTCCTTCATTTATATCTTAAAGACAAATTTAACGATAAATTAGTGGAAAAACTTTTTATGAATTTATGCGACCACTATTTATTAAGATACTATTTCATAACACTTAAATGTTTTTATAAAATGCTGCCACGAATCTTTCCGTATGTTTTGACGTATCCAACTTTTTTATTGGAAAGGTAATCTTATAAGATATATCATTTCAAAAATTATAACAATGTCTGTTTTCCACCACTTACTAAATTACATTTTATAAATTTTCAAAAATTTGTGTTTAAGAAAATTTTCAATTTTTATAACATTATAATATTCCAGTGACAGTTTATTAGAAATAATTCTAAATTAAATTTCTCAAATTTTGTTTTTCTTTCTCCTTTTCGTTTTATGTCTTACGGATTGAAAAAATGGAAAAAAAATTTGAAATGAAGATTGTTAAATTTTTGAGTACAATTTTGATTTTAAATTTATGAAAAAATAATAAATTAAAGATTAATTATACTCTTCATATCCACTTGTTGAAATGCGTGAATGTCACTAATACCACTGCCGCTTTTGATGTTTAGCTTACAAATTATCAATTCTTTCATTTGCATATGCTATTTGTTCTTCTGCTTTTTGTTGAATGATAAAGTATTTCTCTGTTCATATATTTAACGATTCCATTTTTTTCTGCGGCAAAAAATTTGTTAAAAAAAGAAAAGTTTACTTTGCTCAGTTAATTTTTTTATTATATGTAAACAATATTTCGTATTTGTTGTTTTTCAAAATATATCAAACGAAAAAATTTTTCCAATTATTTTTTTATTTCACTTACGTAATTTACTTTTTACGAGTTACGCTTTAGTATTGAAGAAGTAAAAATGAAAGCGAAGGAGAGGGAAGAGAAAAAGAAAAATTTTTTTTTATTAAATGCACAAATTCAGTTCATATCCTTAGTTTTTCCTTCTTTTTTTTAAAACGAAAAGTTGATTTGATTCTTTATTTTCGTATTTTGATCATTGGAATTTTATATAGGAAAAAAGGAAATAAACTGTTTTCTCAAAATATTCATATGTTTTGCATATTATTGTCAGTTTTAATTATGTATAGATATCACTATACTTATGAAATTAATTATTGCAGAAAGAGAAGGTGAAAAATGATTCATAATTGTTTGATGATAATAGTTTCACTGATAATATTTGTTGCATACAAAAGTGAAGTGATCGAAAAAAAGAAAGGACTGATTAAAATTTGAAAATGAAAATAAAATAATATAAATTAATATAAATTTTATAAAAAACTAATATTTCTATTTTAGAAAAATTTTGTAAAAATCCAATTTGAAAATGATGTACAACTATGTTTAACAAATAATATATAAAGAGATAATTGAAATAATAATGGCTATTTCAATAATTAAAATAATAATAGCTATTTCAAATCACCTATTTCTATCAATTCGTCATCAGTTAATTTTTTTATCGAAAAAAAAAAAAACAAAAAAAAAAAAACAAAAATGAAAACAAAAAGCAAATAATTATTATGATGTAATGCATGCATGAAGCAGATTTTCCTTCTGTTTCCATTTTTTTTTTTTGCCATATTGAATAAAATGTCTTTCTGAAAGTAACTTTTAAAAATTTCACGAGTGACACTGAGTGAGTCACATCCAGATGAATGAGTCATTTAGCAAACATTGCTGTCTGTTCTGTCTGTCTGTATTGACTTTTTTTTAATTTTTTAAATTATTGCATGATTAACAAAAGCTGCTTAGTTTGTTTTAACAGATAAGCGATTATTTTTATTTTTTTTTTCTGACAAACAATGCTATTACATTTTTTTTTTCCTCCCACTCTTTTTGTTCCATTCTTTCTTTCTTTTTTTCTTTCTCCCTCTTTTTTTTTTTTTTTTTTTTTGTTTGGAAAATTTGAAAGAATAAAATATTTAAATTAGTAGAATTCTTTGTTTAAATAGTAAAAGAAGCTACTCTTTTTAAAAAAAAGAAACAAAAAGAAATTTTGAGATTTTTTTTGCATGCTATGAAGATATTGATAATAATAAGATAGAAAAGCATTCCAGGTTTTCGCAACGAGCGCAAATGTCATATCATAAATCGATATGACATCAAATATTATTAATAATTATTTTATCAGCATGAAATAATTATCAATGCAGTAAATGATACTATATAAATATTTTCCGCACTATTATTTTCTTTCAGGATTTTTCTTGAAATTTCTCCCAAATAATTCTCTTTGGGGAGTTAGATCTCTGTGAGAAATTGCATGTTATTCGGTATAATTTTGTCTTTCTTTAAATCTTTTCTAAATTAAAGTTAATAATTCCAACATTTTTGCTGATTAAAATCTTCATTACCTAAAGTTTTAAGAAAACGAATGTTAATTTATTAATATTAATTGCGCTAATCTTCACTGAAATTCAAATCCATTATTCTAAAATATTTTGAAATAACTACTCAATAAAATTTTTTTAAATTAATATGTTATTAGTGAACGCATAATCTTTGGAAATTTATTTAGAAATGAATTTACCTTAAATATGAATTGATTCAATTTCTAAATTATTTTTATTTTTTTCTATTTTTATGAAAAGTATAGTTATAATGAAATGGTATATCTATCACTTTTATGAATATTTTTTTCATTTCAGAATTTGGTATACAATAACATAATTGATAATAAAATAATTAAATCGCTATGCAATCGTTTTTTCTGAGCAAACATCACTTGCATTGTGCAATGCTAATTCATCTGGCATTACTGAAAGAAATATTGCATACTTCATAATAAGATTAGATTTTTAAGATTAGCCATTCTTTATGTTTTTTTTTTTTTTTTTTTGATAAATATTGAAATATTTAGTATGAATTGTTAAAGTTCATTTTTCATAAGTAATTCATATGATTTTTTAAAAGTTTTATCTTTTTATTACTTTTAATAATCCACTGTTAATTAATTTGACATCATTGACTATTCTTAATCATTTGCATTCAATATAATCGAATTGGATTCATCTCTTCATCTAATTCACTGTATGTCCAACTTTAAAACATTTGATTCTTTGATTACAATTTCATAAAATTCATTCCTCCTAGTAAAAATTATAAATTTACACTTTTTTATGCAATATTTTCATGTTTATATGTCAATAATATGCATATACGTATTGTTTTTATACGTTATAGTCAAAATAAATAAAT